GTGCGCCTCGTGCGCGGGGATGGCGCGCGGGTCGCCGCGGGCGCGGCCGCTCAGCGCCAGCAGCACGCGCTTCCAGTTGGTGCAGGCCACCTTGGGCACGTAGCAGTAGAGCAGGCCGTGCGCGTCGTCCACCAGCACGTGCCGCAGGTCCTCGGGCCCCAGCAGGCGCTGCCTGCGTGTGTGGCGGCTGCAGGCTCGGCGCAGCAGGTCGCGCCGCTGCCGGTGCACCTCGGCCAGGGCTGAGCGCGGGCCCTGTGGGCGACAGCGGAGGTGGGAGAGCGGGACGGGGGTGGGGGGGTCGGCGCTGCGGGCCCTGCGCCCACCGGGCCGTGGCGACGGAACAGGGGATTCGAACCCCAGCACTGCCACCGATCACTGTGATTTGGGACCCAGATCCTAGACCAGAATTTGGGGGGAAAATGACTCTAACCTCACTGAGGCAGGTGGAAGGATGTGACAAGTAGGGTTGGGCCCTCGGGACCAAGGAGGTCCTGATGATGAATATGACCGTGTCAGAGTAAGCCTGATGGAATAAGTATGTCATCAGAGTGGTGAGCGTGGGCGCAAATTGAATATCAGGATAGTGTATAAGAACAACAGCTTTAATTCCATATAGAGTTGAAAAATGCAGCCACTTGCAGGCTACTGAGATATTTTTTTGTTCAATAATAAAATTTGGGGGGTGATGAAAGTGTTCTGTAGTTAGAGAGTGGTGATGGTCATGCAGCCTTGGTCACTATAGACCATTGAAGGGTACACTGTAAAAGAGTGAATTTTATGGCATGTGAGTTTTATCCCAGTTACGAAAAGAGCCTTGTGAGTGTTTCCATTTCAGGGAAGGACAAAGCAGCACCTGAAATGGTAGGACACTGGGTCCAGTGCCTGCATAAGAGTATCTGCCATTGCTGGGTGGGGAGGGGAAGAATGTGTGTGGGGGGGAGGTGCTCATTTGCGCTTCTCATGCCTTTAAAAGTATCCAGAAATCCAAGCAGAAATCCAAAATACTTCAAGTGATAAAAGCTAAAGTACAGAACAGGAGTTAACATGTCACATTTTGGGTTTACAAAGGGTGAGGAAGGAAATAAAAAATGTTTCAGAAAGGATAGGTTGTAGGCAGCCTCACATATTTTAATTTATTTTTTTAAAGATTTATTTATTTGCTTCAGAGAAAGAGAGAGTGAGTGAGCATGGGGGGGAGGGGCAGAGAGAGAGAGAGAATCCCAAGCAGACAACCCTGCTTAGCTTGGAGCCTGACATGGGGCTCCATCTCACAAACCCGAGATCATGACCTGAGCCAAAATCAAAAGTTGGACACTTAACTGACTGGGCCATCCAGGTGCCCCGGGAGCCTCTCTTTTAGATATATATTGAAATTGTCACATACTAAACAAGGTTGGAATTTGCTTCCAAATAATCCCAAGTAGGAATGGAGGGAGAGGGGTCTGGATGAAACAGGGCAGAGTTGATCACTGTTCAAACTGCGTGATAGGAATGTGGGGGTGCATTGTACATTTTACTTCTGTATATGTTTGAATTTTTCTCAATTAAAACATAAAGCAGAAAAAAAGGACATATATACCTGTAGGTATGATTCTGGAAAAGTGACCTAAGCACATGACAGAGCATTGGACACTACACACATGCCTAGAACATGCCTGGAAGGGCACACAGGGAACGAACTGGTCGCCTCCAGGGGTAACCAGGGCCAGGGTGGGAAGGAGAGGTACTCTTCACTACATATACTCGTTTGAAGGGTTGAATGCCCTATCATGTGCTTATCTTACTTTTTCAAAATCTCACAGAGGGGTGGCTGCCAATCTCAGAGCAGTGAGGGGCATGAGAGCACTGAGAGGATCCCTTTTCCTCTAAGGCAGACTCACAGGACTGGCCTCAGAAGCCTGGCTTCACCTGGGTGCCAGGAGAAGGCTGTATCCAGTGGCCCCACAGCCAAGCTCTGCTTTCAGCTTCCAGACATCCCCACATATTTCTTGGGGCAGGGAATGTTGGCCATCCACCCACCTGTCAGTCATCCTCCCTCCTTGCCAGCAGACCCCAGTTATGGTAGGTCATGTGCCAAGCCTTGGGGAAGAACCAGTCATAGCAGCCTCACACAACTTCATGAAAGCTATGGGTCCTGGGGTGAACATCTGGCTTGGTTTGGGCCAAGGAGATGTACAGGGAAGTCTGCTAGATGGCTCCCAGGAAAGACTTTCCTTCAGCACAAAAAGAGAGGGCTCCTGAAGGAAAAAAATCTTTGCCTCAGCCCCTCCCTTTCTGCTTGGGGTACCATCCTGTGAGATGTCCGGAGCCCTGGCAGTCATCTTGAAGTCATGAGGCACAAGATGTATCATATGTCAACATTCAGAGTATGATGATGGACAACGTGTTGTTGCTGTACCAAGGCCTGTTGGTTTCTGAGCATCTTGGGAAGTAAACACCGACTGTCCTAATGGCTTAAAGTCAGCTTTTATGTTGCTTGGAGCCCCATAAATACCAAGATAGTCAATACTATCTCCATAGAAATGAGAAAACTGAGGCTCAATAGAAATGAGTTGCCTACAGCTCTCAAGTAGGGAAGCTGGGACTCCCAACTCAGGTCCCTTAGGACTCAGAAGCTGGGGCTATGCCCACTGGTCCAGGAACAAATCCTACAGTTACAACCATCTCTCCCAGCCTGACTGGACTCGGCTGCCTGGATCCTTAGCCTGGCTCCAGTCCTTATGAGCTCTGTAACCTTCTCTGTGTCCTTGGCCTCCCTGTACCTCAGTTTGCTCATCTGTAAACAGGGATAACAACAGGCCTACCTTATAGGCTTGCCATGAGGACTAAATAAGTTCACAGAATTGGAGTGTCTGGTACACAGTTAGCCTTTGTTAGCCAGATTATTTTTTTTTTTTTTGGCCAGATTATTTTTATTACTCTTATTTCTCCAGCCACAGGTGCTAAGCTCCCAGGGCCTTGACACCCAACCGTCAGAGGGACCTCAGGCTGTGAGGGGGCTGAGTCAGCCCCATCTGCCCCTCAGAAGCCTGTGGAACTAGTGGAACCCAGGATCCTGCTGAGAGCCTGGCCTGCCCTCAGCTTGCTGTGTGGCCCAGAGCAAGCCAGTTACCCTCTCTGAACCAAGGCCTCCACACCTGCAACCCAAGGGCATGGGTCAGATAAGCTCCACAGGCCCCTTTGGCTCAGCCCTCAGGGATTCAGTGAACAGCTACCTACCCAACCTGTCTGATCATTCTCCCCAGCTTAAAACCCTCTATGGTTTCCCTATTGCCCTCGTCCCACCTGCCAGGCACCACCCAAGCTGCTGCCCACTCCTGGCTCACCTCGCACACCCTCTTCTGTTGTCTGTCCACCACCAGGCACTTGGCCCTCTACTCTTTGCTTCTTAACTCCTTCTCTGCAGGTCTCAGCTCCAATGTCCCTTTCTCAGAGAGGATCTCTCTTCCCCATCTAAACTAGGACCCTCCCGGTAGATCTCTTGTCGCACCTTGTACTGCCCCTTTCGATGCAAATCAGCTACAGGTTAGTGCAGGTGGCAATGATGGGATGATATCTTCCTCACCTGGGCATATCAGCTGCCCCAGGTCAGGGATCCAGCTGACCTGCTTGCCACTGGATCAGCAGCAGCCTGAGCACAGCCTGCATACACTAGGTGCTCTACACATGCTGTCTGAATGGGTGCCTCTCCTCGTGCCTGCTGGTGTGTGTGTGAGCCAGGGGCCCGTGGCTCTCGGCGGGGTCTAACTGCGTGTGTGTTTGGGCTGTGCATGGTCCCAGCAGGCCCACAGCGCAAGTGGAGTGCCTGGGCCGGTAAGCCTCCTGGTCCGGGTGCCTAAGAACAGTGTGAGGACAGGGGCTCCCTGCATGTTTCCCTATCGCAGCAGATACTAAAATCTGGGGGGTCACTTAATTCCTGTCTCCCCACTAGACTGTCAACTTCCTGAGGGTCCTTTGCTCTTTTATATCCTCAACACATGGCAGAGTGCCTGGCACAGTGTGGCTTCAGTCTGTTGTTGGGTGGATAATGGATGGGTAGGTGGGTGGGTGGGTGGAGACCCCAGGTCTCTCAGCTTGTCCGAAGATTTGCCCTTGTCACAGGCATTCTCCTCTCTGCACAGGGCCTTGATTTGCAGAGGAAGCCTCTTCAAGCCCTACTGTGGGCTCTAGTCCCAAGACAGCAGGTCTACACTAGGGTTCTCAGTTTCCCGTGGCTGGAGGTAGAGGGAGGGATCACTGGGCAGGGGTCTGTCCACCTACCTGGTCCAAGTCATAAAGCATCTGCAGGGGACTCCTCCTCTTCCCACTGAGCCAGCCAGAGCCCAGGCTGTTTTCAAATGCTATGGGGCATAAGGAAAGAGGCATCAGATGGACTGGCTGTAGCCCTTAGGAGACTTGGCCAACTCCCTTGGGCACATTTGATCTACCTCTGGGACTCAGTTTCCCTCTTGTATCTCATCTGCCTTGGTGGGGTGTGGGGCACTGATAGGCCCCCTAATCCACCAGGGCAGCGTCTTTGGTATCGCTCCTGTCCCCATGTCCTACCCTTCAGAGTTGGAGGACGCCAGGCAGGCAGGGATGAGCGGAAAGGTGGTACCCAGCCCACAGCCTTCTGTTAAAGACCTGACCATCCAACCTTATCCATCTCCTCTGCCTTCATTTCATGCCGCGCCCCTATCAGCCCCATGTCCATGGAGCCCTCAGGGGCTCACCAAGCTGGCTGGCGGTCCAGCCTCCCCAGATCCTAGGTGTGGGCAGCCAGAAAGGGCTGGGTAGCAATAGAGGTGGCACAGCCAAGCTGCAGGTTCTCCAGTGGCAGCCCACCAGGTCACATGACCTCCATGGACTCCTACAGCAGCCTGTACTTCCCTGGCCAGTGTGTATGCCGCTTCGTGGTAAATGCAGGTTTCACTGTCTCCTAGGCTGGAAGACAGTGTGCAGGGATACAATCCATCTGTCTCAGTGTTGCACTCTTCAATCTTCCTAAAATTACCAAAAACTCTGCTTACTAAATTTATTCTTTTACTCTAAATGTGTTTTAAGGAATATCTTCCTATATATTCAATTAATGTGAATAATATTATTAGTAATGTAGTTGATTTAGATAAGCATAGGCTCATGATCTTATGCTTCTTGGTCATATTTTTCTAAAGTATGATTATACTTATTAATAAATGAATAAAGTATAATGCAGTCTTCAAAAAGATCACCAAAATTGGCAAAACTTTAGCTAGACTGACCAAGAAGAATGAAGTCTCAAATTACTAAAAACAGGAATGAAAGGGAAACCATTAGAATGGAATCTTACAGAAATGAGAAAGGCATGAACAATTGTACAAAAGCAAATTAGATAGCCTATACAAAATGGACAAATTCCTAAAAAGATGCAAATTCCTGAAATTGACCAAAAAGAAATAGAAAACCCCAATGACATATAACAATTATATGTATAATGTATATGTATAACAATGTAATATATAATAATATGTATAATAATGTAATGTGTAATAATATGTATAAATACATTGAAGTAGTAATGTAAAAAAAAAACAATGCCACAGAGAAAATCCCAGAATCAGATGATATTCACTAGTGAATTTTACCAAAATTTAAAGAAGAATTAACACCAATCTCTTCCAAACTCTTTACCCCCTTCAGAAAAACAAAACAGAATTGTGGGGTGAAAAATACCTTCCAACACATTAGATGAGCCCAGTATTACCCTGATGCCAAAACCAGACAGAGACATCACAAGAAAAGAAAACTACAGAACATTATCTCTTATGAACATAGATGCAAAATCCTCAAAAAAAAAATAATAATACCAGCAAACTGAATATATAAAACATATAAAAATGGTTATATAACCAAGTAATATATATCCCAGGAGTGCAAGAGTGGTTCAACATACAAAAATCAATCAAGGTAATACACCATATTAATAGAGTAAAAGAAAAAACCCACATAATTATCAATACATGCAGGAAAAGTGTTGCACAATATCCAATACCCTTTCATAATAAAAATACTAAACAAACCAGAACTTGAAGGGAACTTCATCAAATTGATAAAGGCCATCTAGGAGAAAACCCACAGCTAACATATTTAATGGTGAAAAACTGATGCTTTACCTCTAAGATCAGGAACAAAACAAGGGATACCCACTTTTACCACTTCTATTCAACAATGTACTAGAAGTTCTAGCCAGGGTAATTGGGCAAGAAAAACAAAGAAAAGGCATCCAGAATGGAATGGAAAAAGTAAAATTATTTTATTTGTAGATGACATGAATATATATAGAATATATATAGACTATATATAGTATATTTATAGAATCCACCAACTATTAGAGCTAAGAGCTAATAAATGAGTTCAGCAAGGTTGTAGAATAAAAGATCAATATTCAATAGTGAATTGTATTTCTAAGTACTAGTAATGAAAAACCCAAAATTGAAATTACAAAATCATCTCCACTTACAACAGCATAAAAATATTAAGGATTAAATTTAACAAAAAAAGTGTGAGACTTATCACTGAAAACTACAAGACATCATTGAAAGAAATTGAAGACCTGAATGAATGGAAAAATATCCCATGTCCATGATTTGGAAGATTTAATATCATTAAGGTGGCAGTACTCCCCAGATTACACATGCAATGCAATCCCTATAAAAACCCTAGCTGCCTTTTTTGCAGAAATTGACAGTTGTTGACAGTTGACAGTTGATCCTTAAATTAATCAGAAAATTCAAGGGATTGGGGCACCTGGGTGGCTCAGTTGGTTAAGCGTCTGCCTTCGGCTCAGGTCATGATCCCAGGGTCCTGTTATGGAGCCCTGTATCGGGCTCTCTGCTCAGCGGGGAGTCTGCTTCTCCTTCTCCCTCTGCCTGCCTCTCTGCCTACTTGTGCTCTCTGTCTCTGTCAAATAAATAAACAAAATCTTTTAAAATTTTTTGTTAAAAAAAGAAAATTCAAAGGATTTAGAATGTCTAAAACAATCTTGAAAAGGAACAAACTTGGAGATCTCACACTTCCTAATTTCACTACTTACTACAAAGCCACAGTAATTAAGATGATGTGGTGGTGGGATAGGAGAGACATATTGATTGATGAAATAGAATTCACAGTTCAGAAACAAACCCTTACACTTAAGATCAACTGATTTTTTATTAGGGTTCCAAGACAATTCAATAGGGAAGGAACAGTCTTTATGATAAATTTTGCTGAGAAAATTGGATATCCACATGTAAAAGAATGAAATTGTACCACCACCTCAAACCATATACAAAAACTAACTCAAAATGGATCATAGGCCTAAATGTAAGAGCTAACAAAGACTCATAATGAAAACATAGACATATATCTCCATGATCTTTGAGTTGGCAGTGATTTCTTAGATATGGCATCAAAAAAACAACAAAAGAAAAAATAGATAAACTGGACTATATCAACAAAAACTTTTCTGCTTCAAAGGACACCATCAAGAAGGTGAAAAGACAACCTACCAACTTGGGGAAAATATTTTCAAACCATATATCTGATAAGGGACTAGTATCCAGAATATATAAAGAATGCCTATAGGGTGCCTGGGTGGCTCAGTTGGTTAAGCGACTGCCTTCGGCTCAGGTCATGATCCCGGAGTCCTGGGATCGAGTCCCACATCTGGCTCCCTGCTCAGCGGGGAGTCTGCTTCTTCCTCTGACCCTCTCTCCTCTCATGCTCTCTCACTCTCTCTCTCTCAAATAAATAAAATCT